TTGATCTTAAAAAAATAAAATTTTCACAAGATAAAAAATATCATTAGACCAAAAGTTCATTAGTGTAACTTTTACTTTAACTTTTAAAAGTGTAACCTTGTCATTATAAATCGCACCTTCTGGTACAACATCAAAAAAATAATAATAATAATAATTCAAATTTTTCCTAAAAAGATAATCCCGTATTAACTAAAAATGGGATTAAAATAAAGTATCAAATGATGTGACATTAAATCGGTTAAGTACTAATATTTTGATTTGGTACTTTATTTTTGGACGAAAAACTTACTTCATTTTTACACCACAAGTAAAACACACTCAAAATTTGATACCGTACCAATTAAAACAAGAGCAATACTATTTAAATTTAATTTTATTCTATTGATAGTATACTTCATTTATTTATTAGGACCTATTGTGATAATAGATTTGGAGATAATTAATATATAGGAGACAGCCACCTCAGCATTTAATTAGAGCTAAGTGGGCCACGTAGGACATTTCTGGAAGAAGCAAAATGTCTAATTACGTGAGAATCTTCGTAATCTAAAGCGTGCGAACATGAATCGTCTTACTTGTAAACCAAGAAAGAAAAAACCTTATAAAAACTGGACCCCACCCCGAGTTGCCGTAAATGAGTTTAAAACTCTCAAAAACACCGATTTTTAACTTCGCATGGATAGTCATGTCAATCCATCGAATTTTATTTAATTTGTATTTGAGTTTAATATAAATTTTTGTATCTAAATTTGATTCAAATATCTTTCAAATTTTATCATCATGGTTTATAATANCCCATGGATAGTCATGTCAATCCATCGAATTTTATTTAATTTGTATTTGAGTTTAATTTAAATTTTTGTATCTAAATTTGATTCAAATATCTTTCAAATTTTATCATCATGGTTTATAATAAAATTCAATAAAAATATAAAATTCGATCCAAAAATCAATTGGTTCTAAATAACTTATTTGATAAAAAATTTAGTAAATCACATTTAAATTTTCACTTGATTTCATCAATTAACTTTCATTTTTTTCAGATATATGTATATTTGTATAAAATTTGAATAAGAATATAATCAAATTAGATATTACCACATTTTCAGATTTGCTATCTTTTTTTTTTGAAAATCAGAAATAAAGAATAAATATTTTCTCTAACATTTTTTTTAATTAAACAATCAAGAATACAATTTCATTAATTTAGTCGAGCACCTCAAAAACCTTCTGCAGTACTGCCACCTCCTTCAACGCTACNTTTAATTAAACAGTCAAGAATACAATTTCATTAAATTAGTCGAGCACCTCAAAAACCTTCTGCAGTACTGCCACCTCCTTCAACGCTACACCTCCCCTCAGCCAATTAAACCCCTGCATCAATGCGCGTCCCCTCTCTCTCTCTCTCTCTCTCTCTCTCATTACTTCATTTATANTAATTAAACAATCAAGAATACAATTTCATTAATTTAGTCGAGCACCTCAAAAACCTTCTGCAGTACTGCCACCTCCTTCAACGCTACACCTCCCCTCAGCCAATTAAACCCCTGCATCAATGCGCGTCCCCTCTCTCTCTCTCTCTCTCTCTCTCTCATTACTTCATTTATAGCTTTATCTTTCGAATGCGCCAATTTTTCCCTAAACCACCAACAGCCCAACAGGCAGCATCTACATAATCTGAGACGAGGCCATATAGTTGCAGAGGAACTCACACACACCACACACAGTGACACACACCCAAATATCTCTCTCTCTCTCCAGACAATAGAAGCAGAGCAATTTGCAGAGAGACAGAAATTTTGGAGTTTGGAGTTTGATGATCATACTTACCTCAAACTCAGAAATGCTGTGTTCGAGTAGCTCAGTACTCTCCCTCTCACCAAGCTTCAACACCTATTCTTCCAACAAACTCGCAGACATCGCAGCCAGAGTTGTAGAAGAGTTCAGAGCTGAATCAAACTCGGATTTTGATTATTTATTCGACTCAACAAATGATGAAACAGGAAACGATAGAGCTCTGGAAGAAAATCTACCACAAGTACTTAAAGAAGAAGAGGAAGAAGAGAAACAACAGAGGAAGAGTACTGACGAGGTTGAACTTGAAGAAGATGAAGACGAGTATGATGATGAGTTTGAGTTTGCTTTTGTTACCGCAGAATCTGACTCGTCGACGATTNACCTTGAAGAAGATGAAGACGAGTATGATGATGATGAGTTTGAGTTTGCTTTTGTTACCGCAGAATCTGACTCGTCGACGATTTCAGCGGATGAGATCTTCTATAACGGTCAGATTCGACCGATGTTTCCAATTTTCAACAGAGATTTGTTATTAGGTGATCTTGAAAATGACGACTCTGAATCTTCCAAACCTCCGACTCGGTCTCCGACTAGGTTTTCGTTGAGGATGCTACTGGGAGAAGAACGGGACTCTCCGTCGTCGGAGGCAGAGGAGCTAGACCGAGTTCCGCCGGGAAATTACAGTGTTTGGACTTCAAAAGAAGCTACGACGGGGGAATCGCCGGAATCATGCAAGGAGAGCAATTCGACTGGCTCGTCCAAACGGTGGAAGTTTCGAGACCTGCTTCACCGAAGCAATAGCAACGGCAAGGACACTTTCGTCTTTTTCACTCCTTCAACTCTCAATTCGAAGAAGAAAGACGAAAAAACTGACTCGATAGACGCCGGAAAAATGAAGGCGAAGAAAATCACCGGCCGTGAAGAGCTGATGGCAGCTCAGTACACAAGAAACAGCAGATTGATGAAGGAAGGTGAGAGAAAGCGATCATTTTTGCCTTACCGGCAAGATCTTGTGGGATTCTTCGCTACTGTGAACGGGCTGATGACCAAAAATCTACCGACTTCCTGAGAAGACGAAGCGGCGATTAGCACTTTATTTTTATTTTTAGTCACACATTAATACAGGCAAGATGAAATCTACTACGTTGAGGTTCGAATCCCGATGTTAAGGTTCAATTGCGAGTACCCGTTATTAGAAAATCGAATTATTGGGGAATACATATATAAAGATTTTTTTTTTCTTGAACTCTTTTTAAGGTTTTTTTGGCATATGTATAAATAAGTGCTGATTAAAGGAAATTTATGGGTAGTTATTGAAATCATTTGGTAGAATGTGATTGGAGGACGTGGAATTTAATAATTTAAAATTTTTAAAAATTTAAAAAAATGTGAGGAAAAGATTTGAGAATATAGACTAGCTTTGATCCCGTGCCATATCTCCCAGTTGTTAAAAGAAAGATTTGAGAATATAGACAAGCATCGCACGACTTATTAAAAGAAATGCATTTTCAATAGGAATTATAATGGTCTGTTCAAGAAAAATAGAAATTATAATGGACTTTAACAAAGACAAGTGAAGTATCTCCCAGTTGTTAAAAAAATAAATAAATAAATATTTGGTCATATCCAAATTTCATTACACTTAAGTGAAAGGGATATGGCAGGAGTTGATCGAGTATGAAATTAAAAGAGATTATTCTTATTCCCAAAAAAATTAAAAATTACCAATTTGTAAATTGTCACATATATCGTAGACCCATTTGTGTCTGACAATATTCAAATTCAAAATCTCGACTATAACTAATTTTTGTCGGTCAAAAAAATGTTAAATGAACGTGGCAAATGTGGACCTAGGAGTGATAATTTGGCATAACTTGTCTGTTAATCAAGTTGGTTGAGTATTAGATCATCAAACATGATTCACTAAAAGGATTGTCTTAGCTTTGACTATAAATTCAATATAAACACAAAATGATTCGAACATAAACAATTTTTAACAATCAAACCTGAGCGAAACTTTAACTAATGACTAATAAAATTGAGTAGAGCATCAACATTGCAATATTTGAAAGACTCAACTTGATTAATACCCTATCTCTATCAGGATGTATGTTTTTAATTTCTTCGAAAATGATTGTAAAAACTAATGGGAAAACAGAATCATCTAGAGCGGGTAGTTGCTCCACTTAAAGGGACCTCATAGATTTATTCTTTTGAGTTGGTACCTGGCTGGTTTGGTAGATAGGGAGAAACCCTTTACTCATCTACCTTTTTCTTGAGATAAGTGTGGTTTATATAATATTAGTAATGACTAAACAGATATTTAGAATGTCTTGCAAGTGAAAAAAAGTGGACGCCTTGGCGTGAGGAAAGCAATAAAAGGAATGTTCTTTTTCTTTTGGGTCTAGAAAG